AGGGGCAAGCCCTCCTCCCTCGGCACTCCCGACACCGTATCGAACAGAAGTTCGCTTTCTACCGCAGTGGTTAGGTTAAAGCTGTCGCACGCATAATTCGGCGCGCACAAGTCTGTGCGGCATTGCTGATCGATACTGCCACCGGTCACACCAAGAGAGAAACACCCGCCGTNCCACCTGCAACCACAAGGGCCAAGCCCTCCCCCCTCAGCACTCCCGACACCGTATCGAACAGAAATCCGCTTTCCACCGAAGTGGTTAGGTTAAAGCTGTCGCACGCATATTTCGGCGCGCAAAAGTCTGTGCGGCATTGCTGATCGATACTGCCACCGGTCACACCAAGAGAGTAACACCCGCCGCCGTGCTCTTTCTGAGGCACCTCCCACTCAAGCCCATGTTTCCCCAGACCCCCGACATTGCCGCCCCCTGTTCCTACTCCCTTGCCACCTGCAACCGCAAGAGCCAGGGTCCTTTCTCGTCGCACTCCTAATGAAGACGCCAAAACAGTCAACGACAACAACTGCGCGTGGAACATGTGCATGCCACCGACGTACGTTCAAAGGTTTCTACTCAGCAATGACCTGCCATTCCTTCGACGTTTCTCAATCTTCTGTTCAGGTTTCAGAGATCTTCTAGACGCTCTTTGCACCAAATCCTACCCTCGGTACCTCGGCTCCGTCTGCTGCTGCTGGACCTAGCGACCGCCTTGCTCGATCTCCGATCGATCACGGGGTCGCGAGCACAGTTCCGTTCGGGCCTCCACGTGTGTGTGTGCTCCCAGCACGCGTGTCTCGAAGCTACCTTCTCCTCGGCCCCTTTGACTGTTGCTTCCTCCCGCTGCTGCTGCTGCTGCTGCCTGTCGCCTGGTCTTCCTCTCACCACGCTGAGCTGCTCCTGCCGCTGACTCTTCCAGAAGCGAGGCTGCAGGATCTCCGATCGAGATTTTGTTTGGATCTCTCGAAAACGTCTCTCCGGGACCACGTGCGTGTGTCGCGCACACGTGTTCCGATGTTACCCTCTCGTCGGTACGTGCGGCTGCCTCTGCCGCTGCTGCTGCTGCTACAGCTGCTGCTGCCGCCGCGTCTTCCGCTGTGGGCAATTTGCGGCGGATCCGGCTTGTACGATCTACGATCAGTGGATCGTCGCCGCAATGGATCCAAACCGACTTCAACAAGCTCTCACCTCTACCAGCCTCTTCACTGTACCGCTTATGTTTCCCTTCTCCAAGATATCTCTCCACGCTTCTCCACGCGGATTTTCCTCTCTCGGTGCCTGGACTCTTCTTCCCCGGAAACCTTCCAGGCCGACTTTTTCGCACAATCTCCGATCAACTCTATTTGGATCTTCCGCAAAGCAAGCACGTCGACAGGGCAGGCACCACCCTGTGTGTATCTGTGCACACGTGCCACCACCGCACTCCGGTCCATGCTGTCTATCCTGTCGTTTCTGTCTCTGCTTCCCCCCCACTGTGCTTGTTGTCGTTTCCTCAGCTGCTGCCTGCGGTTTTCAGCTGCTGCAAAGCCCGTGTAGCCCGACCCGTGCAGGATAT